CTCTTTTCTCGTTCCGCTGAATTTTTTTTAAGATCTTTTGTCTGTCTCAAAGGGTCACGTAGTTTGAAGAGAGACTGCTCGTCGTATTTCTTTGTAGAAATTTATATGTGCGGGAGGAAATTGATCTTTTATTTTGGATCGTGCTGGGAGAAGAGCGTACATTATACGCGTCCCCGAAGAGGGAAAAGAAGAAGGCGGGGTAAGAGAGACCCATGGCCACGTCAGAGAAGAACAGAAAGAGTGAAATTGATATTTATAACTATCCTAGTTTCTTCTTTAGGAAAAAAAATTTCTCGAAATCAGAACATTTGTATAGGACACTTTGAAGTAATGAAAAAACTTTTACGTGATTCTTTTTACGTGATTCTTCTCTAGAAGAAATTCAGCAATAGACATTTCTGAAGTCAATCTCGAAATAATCTTCGTATAATGCGACAGATACAAATGATGAGCAGAGAGTTACCGTTTAATCTTTCACCGCATACACGTCGTGGTTGATAGAAGTCGACGTTAAAACGTATTGTTTCGTTAAAATATGCAGAGGTTCGCGCAAGCATTCGCGTGTGTATATATTCGGACATTTATAAATCAACTAAAAACGACGTGTGAATTGCATATCGTATCATATTTCGTATTGTATTTTTGATGACACACACAGCTTTACGCTTTGATGTCAGCCCCGAAATAATTTATTATACGAATGTCATAAATTCCCGATGATAATAGAGCACAATAAGTTATCAAAAGCATTGAAAGGCCAAAGAAGCAAATGATGACTCTGTATGATAAATTTATATCAGTCGATGAAAACATAAGTGATATAAATCGATAATTAATAGGTAGGCCGATGTATAAATGTTCTAATATGATATTCGTAATATCTCGCCGGCTGTATATATAATATTACTTACCTTATCGTCAAAGACGATCAATCATTCATACAGTGATTCAGACAGTGTCATTAAAGCATAAATTAACAGAGCAATCATTAGGGTGTTAAATTGGTAATCGTAGTCGTACGTATCGACGCATAATACAAATATGCGGTATCACTATCTCTCAACGAAATAAGCATATTAATTGACCACGTGGCAATCACTTGTTACAATACGTCACGCACGTGTCGTACTGTTACCTTTGATCTGTCGAAACGATAAACCGCGACTAATTTCGGTCCTGATTATCGACACGTGCCTATCACTGTCCAATTCACAGGGACAGTGATATTTTTAAAGAAGAAAATGAGAGAGGGGGAGTCTGAGTGCCATTTTTCGTTAAATATCGCTAATCTCTTTCTGCTATTAACTTTCAAGGAATTTTCCTTTAGGAAAGTCCTTTAAAGAAAAGGTTTATCATTACACGCGCAGAATAAATATATATATATAAAATAAACGTGGAAAGTTTAGAAAAAGTTATACAATTTATTATATTTAGAAGAGGCAACGTTACTTCCATATTGAATAATGTTATAATTCCGCGATTGAGGTCTCATACGAATTGGTGCCAATTGTTGGGAAAATCGAGCGTATGTTGAAACTCGCTTGCGATAACGTGATTTCCGTTAATGGAAAGATGCAATTTTGGCGTAATATTGTTTCTTTTTTCACGATGCAACGTCATATTCGTCGAATTCAAGCCACCAGCCGCTGCATATCATCATATATGACCGTTCGTGCGTTTTGCAATGCGATGATTGCAAGGAGGGCCGACGAATGCGACGTGTGGTGCTGATCAAGCAATCATTTGTTATCAGCAGCATCGATATTCCATAGGTGACGCAATAAAATATTTCCCATGCATATGCATGCGATGCGATATACCCAGCAAATCGATGATGCGTCGGAGAATTTTCCGCCGCGTCGCGCACGATAAAATACGTCTGTCTCAGGAACACACCGAGAATTTCGAACATTCTTGTGAAATCACGTAACATTTGAAATAAAACAGACGGAGAACAAATAGTATTGAGCATACATTCGATTTCGATATCGTTAATTTTTTATCGTTAAACAATTTATTATATTTGAATGAACGTTTTAAAATAAGCATGCAAAAAGAGGAATCTTAATTAGAAGGAATAAATACAATGAAAACTTGTTTTGTGAATGAAGAATTTAATGAATACTTTTCCAGTCCGGTATCGTGAAATGCTGAATCGGACGCGTTCATAAATTTCAAGGACGATAGTAGAAAACCCGTCGAAACATTCGAGTTAACATGCGTTTTAAGTAGGTTTGCCTAATGAGAAGAAAGCGAATTGGTGAAAATTGAGGCAGCACTCGTTTTGCTATTTATAACTGTCGGTTGATTTATATTCGGGAAACATGAGAGAAAAAAGAAAGAGAGAGAAAAAGAGAAATGAGAAAAAGACGTGCGCATGTATGAAATACGAAACATTTGTAACTCACACGACGATTCGATAATATATAACGGCAACGTTTGAAGGCGTTAAAAGTAA